TGAGCTCCCCTATGACTGTGTAGCAACACCTGGAGATGGCATACTTATATCCTTGCACCAAGAGATGTGAACCCCTGACAGAAGGGGAGAAATTCATATGGATCCTGGAGAGAGGGTTGTACCCTAGGGAATGAGTAGCTGAGTGAAAGGTTGCTTTGGTTGGAGTGTGTCTGCGTTGTTTTGTTTTTGTTTTGTTTCCTGGGAGGGGGCTTTTGGATTAGCCAGAAAATAAAACTACCGATGCAGAAGGGAAACCGAGGCAGCAGATGCATCTCTGCATGGGAGAGGTAAGGTTCCCCGTTACAGATGCATTGAACCATTAAGACAACAAAAACAATAGAAGTATAGAAGAATACAAACATTACAAAATGCTGTGCAATTTATATCAAAGGTTGTAGGACAAAAATTATTATAGTACTGAGTATTTTGAGGAAAAATATATTCCAGTGTAATTAAAGATTGTCACAATATTACAAGTAGACAATTGGGAAATATTAAGACTGAATTCTTATTTTATCTCACCCACTTTTCCCAATCTGGGCAACATTGTGCTCGTCTTTATGGATTGTTCTAGATTAGGAAAGAGGATGAAGTTAAATTGGGGGTTTTAACTCACTCCATTTTTTTCTCCTAATCTAGACAAATTATGTGGCACTCTCTATACGGCAAAAAAGGTACTTATTTCAGTTGTTAGCCCAATCCGATCTGCTTAACTTGATTGAAAACCTTGATTAGCACATGTGGACGCAACTTCAGACAGTTTTAGCTGGTTGTGCTGTAGCCAAGGTGGGAACACGACTGAGTTACGTTAACTCTGTTGAGGTAACTCAGTAGAAAAAGCACCTTTCTGACTATGAAGACAGGCCCTCTGTTGGTACACGTTGGTCTTGTGTTGATAAGAATTTAAAGATGTGATGTTAAATTATGCTAGCCAGTTTGAGATAATACATTCTAAAATACTAGTCAAGACTAAGCACGTTTTTACTCTGGTATATGCTAAACTGGTTGAATTAAAGCCCAGGGGTAGAAGGAGAGAGATCAAACCAACTAACATTTAACATCCATACCTAGTTAAATACTAATTAAGACGAAGTGAAGGGAGAATGAGTAAGGTGCCAGGAGCCTTCTCACTCCCTTGTGTGGCCCATGTATGGATCAGGCGCACTTGCAATCCCTGAGTGCAGGTGAGTTTAAGAACTGCCTCCCATGGGGATGCCTGTGGAGTGAAGCTGGAATATCAGTGCATGGGAAGAATACTGCACACTCCAAAAGGTGTAGCAGCAGGTACATTGATTCTGAACTTCTGGGAGGCATTCTGACTGACACACAG